TGTAATCTCGAGATTGAAGTCGAAATATCGATATTAAATTCGTAATTTCGATATTAAGGTAGAAATTGCGAGATTAAAGTCGAAATTTAGAGATTGAAATCGAAATTCATACATTAAAGTTAAAATGTCAAGAACAAAGTAAAAATTTGGAGGTAATAGTCGAAATTTCAAGATTAAAGTCGTAATTTCGAAATTGAAGTCGAAATTTCGAGATTAAATTCGAAATTTCGATATTAAAGTCGAAATTGCGAGATTGAAGTCGAAATTTCGAGATTAAAGTCGAGATTCAGAGATTAAAGTCGTAATTAAGAGAATAAAGTCGTAATTTAAAGAATAAAGTCGAAATTACGAGTTCTAAGTCAAGGTTAAAGTCTTAGGTTGGAGATTAAAGTTGAAATTTCTAGATTTGAGTTCCAATTTTGAGATTAACTTCGAAATTTCGAGATTAAAGTCGAGATTACGGTCAAAGTTTCAAAATCAAAGTCGGAATTTCTAACACACGATTAATAAAAATATGTGGCTTTTCTGCGCTTCCATACAAATGTCGATTTGGTGGTTATCAATTTTATTCGTTTCAATATGGGGCAAATACAGGAATAGTTTCCTGGTTTTATGGAACTTGCGGTGGATTTGTAGAATTCAACACAATAAACCAGTAGTGATTCTACAAAATATGCAATGAATCATGGTTTTCACAAATACTGATAATGACGACGTAGTAGATTAGTGTATGACAAACAGCTTCTCTTACGTATTTCTATTTAGGTTTACTTTCCGCTCTTACAAAGCCACGTTTCAAATGATTGTTAGAAGAAGCATATTCATGTTCTGATTCTAATCTATTTTTGGTTATGATATATGAATAACTTACCAAAGAAAAAGCCAACCTATTCAGGAAACAAATCAAAAACCATAGCAATTCTAGCAATTGAAAAATTGTTATAAACGAATGCATTGTTTATAAGATGGTTGAAATTATTTTGGGGGGATTTTCATCAGTGATGAATATTACGATTTTTATAAACCGAATCGTTTCTTTAAAATTCTTCAATATTTTCCGAGATATTTGCAAAAAACTAAACCCCCCTTCTTTTACTAAATTGTTTATTACTTTTGCAATTTTTTCGAGTCCCTCATGATATTTTTCAAAAAGTTGCTAGAGATCATTCCGAATCGAATGAGCCCTTGATCACAATTTTCGGTGCCCTTGGACAGAAGTTCCAAAAAAAAGATCATGTGACCCAGACTACTGGAGCTGCAAAGAGATTATGTTGAAAAAAAAAATAATTTTTTTCAAAATTTTTGTGTATTCTTTGTTGGGCCGGGTACTTCTGGGACCACCCTCGTAAATGCGACAGGTTCACCAACCTACGAGTACGAGCTGGCTAAATACTTGACAACCCTACTGCAGCCATTTATAGGAAATACAGGGTAATTTATTAAGGTATCGGGACACTTTATCGAAAAGACTAGAGATATAAAGTTAAGTCCTGGAGAAATACTAATGGGCTTTGACGTAGTCTCCTTGTACACGATGGATCCGATCAAGGACACGATACGGCTAATTAGCAAAGTATCCCCAGCAGATATAACCGCCCTCCTCGCTCATTGTTTGATGTTTTCTGAAACTTGGCGTCCTCATAATAAGAAATTATTCAACAATGTTAGAAAATGTTGACAGTATTCAATGTTTCTGTTTAAAACAATCTGTTGTCGATTCAGTATTATTGAAAATTAGTACCTAGAAAATAAGAACAAATTTATGGAAGTGCGGCTTCGTCAAATATAACACTCAAAAAAGTAGGTATGCATAAATGGATACCTAAAAATTTCAATGAATTCATTCAAAAAAAACAAGTGAGCGTCATTGAAAAGATGTTTTTTCGGTATTGTTTCAGTTAGCTAAGGATTAGTACAATAATCACAAAACATGCTTCGTGAGTAAACATGCAAGCAAAAAGCCAAGAAATATAAAAACCCTGGTGTATCCACTAACGCGATTTCATATCAAGAGACCGATTTATTCTGAATAATCACCCCATCACGAGAAACACTAGCCCGGAATAAAAATATCCCTTCACTGCACGAGTATGTATGGAGATAGTGTTTTGAATGTTTAGAGTGAAATTTCTCCTATTCACGAAACACGTTTTTCGCATATTAGCCATCCAACATAATTTCTAAAATAATCTCTGAATCATACGAAGTTTAACCTTGACCAGTCTTACAATAACATTTGAATGAAACATACGAAAGTACTGATTGAATAGATGTCTTTCAATTTTTCAAAGATTCAAATATACTCTTTCATCCGAAACTATAACTTAAAATAAATTCTCCTTTGTAACTTTAATAGGAACACATTTCTAATGTTTTCAGCCGCTATTTTAACAATGAAATAATGTAAAATTATTCTTTCTTCAGTCAATGGCAATTATTCTTCTGATACAAATATTTCTATCTCACATAAAGTTTTATTTCACTTCAACCTTCTTCAGGACCAACCCAAAGAGTTTGTATGCTGCCTCTTTTGTAGGCCCTGAAAATTGGGCGATATTCAGCAAACAGTAAATCACCGATTTTTATTGAAGTAGCTGAATTGTTTGTAGTTATTAGTTTGCATACATAAATGACAGCTATTAACTCCATACCTACTGAATATTTTGAAATTAATAAATCATATTCGATATTTTTGTACGTCCTGAAAATTAGGTGATATTTAGCAAAATTTAACTTGGCGATTATTATTCTTATTTAAGTAGCTGAATTGTTTGAAGTTATCAGCTATACATACACCCCATACTGAATATTTTGAAATGAATCAATATTTGATACTTTTAAATGATACATTTAAATTAGCCATTATTATTTTTATTTGAGTAGCTGAATTTTTTGAAGTTATTATTCTATTCACATTATATTGAATTTATTGAAATAAATCAATCACGTTTGATACTTTTGTAGGCCCTGAAAGTTAGGATATTCAGCGACATTCAAATTGGCGAAAATTATGTTTATTCAAGTAGCTGAATTGTTTGGAGTTATTAGGTTGCATAAATAACTCCATACCTACTGAATATTTTGAAAAAAAATAAATTTTTGATACTTTAGCAAACCTTGAAAATTGGGTGATATTCAGCAAAATTTTAATTGACGATTATTATTTTTATTTAAGTAGCCGAACTGTTTGGAGTTATCAGGTTGCATGTATAAATGACAGCTATTAACTCCATACTGAATATTTTGAAAAAAAAATAATTTTTGATATTTTAGAAGGTCCTGAAAATTGGGAGATTTGATAATTTAGTAAGTTCTGAAAATTGGGATATATTCAGCAAAATTTAAATTGACGATTATTATCTTGATTTAAGTAGCTGAATTGTTTGGAGTTATTAGGTTGGATAAATAAATGATAGATACACACCCCATACTGAATATTTTGAAATCAATCAATCATATTCGATAGTTTTGGAGACCCTGAAATTTCGATGATATTCAGCAAAATTTAAATTGGCGATTTTCATTTTTATTTATTTGTTTGGAGTTATTAGGTTAAATGATGGCTATTAACTCCATAATGAATATTTTGAAAAAAAAAATGTTTGATACTTTAGTAGGCCCTGAAAATTGGGTGATATTCAGCAAACTTTTAATTGACGATTATTATTTGTATTTTTAAGTAGCTGAAATGTTTGAAGTTATCAGCTATACACCCCGTACTGAATATTTTGAAATTAATCAATTGGCTTTTGGATCTGGGTTGAGATGTTTATGTTTCAGATATTTTTCAGAAGTGTTTGTACTCGATTATGTATCTCCTCGCTAGTTTTATTATCGACTGTGAATTATGATGAAACTGAATGAATACTGAAACCTACTTTTGTAGACCCTGAAAATTCGATGATATTCAGAAAAATTTAGATTGACGATTATTACTTTGATTTAAGTAGCTCAATTGTTTGGAGTTATTAGGCTGCATAAATAAATGACAGATACAGACTCCATACTGAATATTTTGAAATTAATCAATCATATTCGATACTTTTGTAGGCTCTGAAAATTCGATGATATTCAGCAAAATTTAAATTGGTGATTTTTATTTTTATTCAAGTAGCTGCATTGTTTGAAGTTATTAGGTTGCATAAATAAATGACAGCTATACACTCCATACTGAAAAAAAAAATTTTTTGATACTTTAGTAGGCTCTGAAAATTGGGTGATATTCAGCAAAATTTTAATGGATAATTATAATTTTTATCAGAGTAGCTGGATTGTTTGGATTTATTAAGCTGCATAAATAAATAACAGCTATACACTATAGCTAGGCTACAAGCCCTGAAAATTAGTCGATAATCACCAAATTTAAAGCATTAGTTGGAAATTTTGATATTTGTACTATCTTCAAGAATAAGGAATACTATAATATTGATAGAAAACATATACGAATATATGTACACACATTTTTTTTAAATGAAAATTGTGAAGTAACCGATTACAAGATGTATTTTGAAATGTTGATGAAGTAATTTATAAATTGAATCGAAAATATTATCTTGAATGAAATACATAAAATTCTTGTCTGCTAATAATAATTACTTATAACTATAACAATTTAATCAACAACTATTTCGATGACGGTTATGTAGGGATTATTGCTCTTTACTTTTATTTTGAACATATTTTTTGGTAACTGAAGATACCATAAAAAATTAATTTTATAAAATAACGTCTCTACATTTTTTTCACTAAAACGACAAAATTTTCCACATGCATGTGATGCGATGGCTCCATGACCGAAAACAAAAACGTATTTCGTGAACTGAAGAAATAATCTCGGAAACAATGAACGTGTGGTGAGTGTATAAGTTTTATCGAAAAACTATCAGTTAAAAAAAAGTGGATGTACCGTGGATTTCTATGTATACCTCGCAGATGAATCCATGCCGTTAGTTAAATCGTAAAGTCTTTGATTAATTTCGATGCGTCCAACCACCACTTACATATATACCTTCCTCCGGCCTCTTGAAGTTCACCAAGAAAAAAACAAAAAATTGATTATTCCAATCCAAAAATATTACAACAAAAAAATAGTGTGGATTACGTTCATAACATGTAGTAATATTAAAATGTTATTGACATTGTACTGAGATAGTGGAAGAATGTAAGAACACAAACAGAGTCTTGCGATAGTGAGTCGGGTTTTATACAGTGCGTTTCTGATCTCAAACAGAGGCTCGATCATGCCAAATGATAAATAAGATATAGGACGCGGGTGTTGATACGTAATTCTACTCTTCTGATTGCTATAATCGTCTAATTCTCCTATAAATTGCCTTGATGTTCCAAACATTGTTTGAATACCAACTAAACAATAAACAAAAAAAAGTCTAAATAATTGTACTTTTATGCAGTGTGTAAAAGCCTAATGGAATAAATTCACTTTTTCGGAAATAAGGAAATATATCCGCGCATGGCTATAGTTCTGGCTATAACTCCTAGTGACATATGTAACAATCACAGGACAAAACAATAAATAAATAGGGAAATAACGCTTTGGCACATAAACTAGTTAAATTATAGTATACCTAAAATACCTTCCTAGGTAAATAGGAAGTGAGATTACTCTGGCAATATTGAATATACTGTAGCAGTTATGAAGAAGAGAATTGGTTCTTACATAGTAATGAATGATATTATTTATTGTATGTAAATGTAAATTATAATTTAACATTCTTCAACGTAAAAATGCCACCCATACCTTTAACTCCTTCGAATGATAAACCTATACTTAACATTTTTTTAATGGGAAGTATAGGTTTGCGATATATCGTTTGAAAGGCTCTTCATTCTCAATTCAAAAATGTTATCGCTTTCAAGTTTATTGCAACAATTGAGATAAAATAAATTAAAATCATGTGTTTACATTACGAAATACGGAAAAGAACTATGGATGTTAACGAAGTAGATGTTCAAAATGTTCACCGCGAACGTCTTGGCAACATTCTAATCTCAAATAAAACTGTCTTCTAACATGATTCAACATATCATGCGTCACCGACCTAATCGCAAGCGTTATTCGTTCTTTTAACTCATTCAAATCTGAAGGTTTGTACACATTGCTCTTTACATATCCCCATAAAAAGAAATCTAATGATGAAAGATCTGGTGATCGCGCTGGCCATTCAATCGATCCTCGCCTCCCTATCCACCGATTGGAAAATGTTGTATCGAGGTATTGCCAGACTTTAACTTGGTAATGTTGGTGGTGCTCCCTTCTGCTGAAACCAAATCGTATTCACTGGAACTTGAGGGTTTCCTGGATCAGGATATAAATTTGCTAAACTTGAAATTACATCATTTTGAAGTAGTGCCAAATAATTATCGCCATTCAAGTTGCCCTTAATGAAAAAGGGACCAATGATATGGTTTCCTACAATCCCTACCCAAACATTAACCTTTTGAGGTTATTGCGTGTGTTTTTCTCTCATCCAGTGAGGATTTTCGTTGATCAGTAGCGGCAATTTTGCCGATTACCATGACCGATTGGATGATATTGTTATCCAACATGTCCATCATTTGCTCACAAAAATAAGTTCTTCTATCAAAATCGTCTTCCATGAGCTCCTGAGTAGGTATCCTTTATAGGGATGTATTTTATCTTCTTTTAATATGTTTACTATCGATGTATGGCTAAGATTGAATGTAGTAGATGCCTGTCTACTCGATGTATGTGGGTTTTCATCAAACTCAAGCACATCTAATTTGAGTTTATCACTCATTACATTGGCAGCTGCTTTTTTTTATCTGCCCCACATGACCAAGCTCGCGAAACTGCTTATTGTTCCTTGAGACATGGGCGATAAATTAGGAAATTTCTCATGAACTAGGCGACCTACTTCCTGTTGTGTTCGGGTTTTATCTCCGTAACGAATCATTTGTAAAACTGTTATTTTATGCATTTCCGTTAATCTAACCATTTGTCAGACTTGAAGGTAACGAACTTCAAACTCAAATTAAAATACTGACAATCAACGTTGTAACATACAAAACAAGTCGACAAGACGTTTTAAACTAACGTTGTTACGGAAATTATTTACAGTTTTTTAAAGGATACCATTTAAAAACAACATTGTTATGGTTTTCCTCAGTTCGTAATATCATATCTCCGCAATAACATGGATTTATGTCAAACAGATCCACCATAACAAATTTAATTGTATTGACCCAAAATGTTAGTAATGTCTTAGATAATCGTGGTCAAGTTGGTGTGATATATACTGATTTTACTAAAGCATTTGATCGACTTGATCACATGCTCCTTCTACAAAAACTCTCCACCAATTTGGTTTCCATAATTCAGCAAAACTTTTCATTAAATTCTACTTACTTCAACGCGAACAGTTTGTATCTTATAATAGCTATGTTTCTTTTTATTATAATCCTTCATCTGGAGTACCTCAGGGGTCGAATCTCGGACCACTTCTGTTCTTATTATTTATTAATGACCTCAGTAATTATGTCGATTGTAATAAGTTATTTTTTGCAGATGATTTGAAAATATATTTACCTGTCGAAACAATCGAAGACTGTAATAAATCGCAACGACAGTTAGAAAATATACAGACTTGGTGTGAAGTAAACAAACTACATCTCAATGCATCCAAATGTAAAGTAGTGTCTTATAGTAGGAGAATGTCAGTCATCGAGTACAATTATCGAGTAGATACCATTTCACTATCACGAAGTAACTCAATTAAAGATCTTAGTGTATATTTTGATCAAAATTTGTCTTCTTCCAACCACAATTGATCGGAAGTAAGTGAAGCATTGAGAGTTTATAGCTTCATAGTTCGCCATTATAGATCTTTTTCAAACATATCTGCTCTATTGACTCTTTATGTAGCCTACGTAAGGTCAAAATTAGAATATGGCTCTGTTCTATGGTCTCCATTCTACAATTGCTATAATACATTAATTGGAAAAGTTCAACGTCGTTTCCTGAAGTTTATTTACTTCAAATCTTATGGTATCTATCCTGATAGAGGTAATCCATATGAATCTCTTACCATAACATTCAAGATTGAAAGTCTTGAATTACGCAGAAAACTTGCTGGAATAATTTTTCTGTATAAATTACCGCACAACAATGTAGATTCTATGGAGGTGTTATCTTTTATACATTTCTGTGTGCCTCATTTTAGACCTAGAAGTACAAAAACTTTTTACAAGCGACTGGCCAGAACCAATTTGCATCTCAAGTCACCAATCTTTAGCATTTGCAATAATTTCAATTTAATTTCAAATTTGTGTAATATCAATTTTGATTCCCTAGAATATATTGTTGACACTACATCTCAGTATTTCATGGAGAATTTTTTATTTTCTGGTATAGTTTTTTTTATTTCATTTTGTCTCAATGGACCATCAGTTCCCTCACACCCCCATACGACTGAGAGAAATGAAATTTGAACTGGCTAAACCCAATAACCATTGAGGTTATCCGGATATACATCCAGTGGGGTCCAATAACTAATGGACAGTGTGACCCATTTTTAATGGAAACACCCCCCTAAAATTTGAAGTTGTAAACCGATTTTAATAATTTTTTTTTGAAATGTCAAGTACTAAAAGGTCTACCTTGAGACAAAATTTTAAATGTTTATTAAAGTTTCAGGGCATACTACGATATTTTTTCTTAGTCGAAAATCGGGATTTTTTATTAGCGATTTTTTTATTGTTTTTCACGCAAATTAACTAAAACTAAGACCTAATATTTCAATTTAAATCTTAGTTGCCATGGAAATGATATTACAGTTTGACACTTGTGAAAGATTTAAGTTTACTATTGTCAATAATATTCACCTTACAGTTCTTCGAATTATTTTGTGTCATGGCTGCAAAATTGAACGTAAGAGAGAAAATTGAAATTGTACGCCTTTCGGGAGATGATGTTAGAAATGCTAGAGAGGTTTGTAGAGGATTTAATGAGAGACATCCAGATCGGCCTTGTATTAGCTGCGATACGGTAAATAAAATATTCAATGAAACTGGTGCAGTATCAAAAATGATGTTAAAAAGTAATCCTGTACAAAGACGAAACAGCAATGACAGGAATGATCAAATCATTTTAGATTATTTCGGAAATAACCCTAATGCCAGTAAAAGGAATGCCACTTTAGATTTGAATATTCCACGAGAAACTATTCGGAGATGTCTCAAGGCGAAAAATATTAAACCTTTCAATCCAAAATTTTTACACACACTTCAAGAAGGCGACGAAGCAAGACGCCTGGAATATTGTTTATGGACCCAAGGGGAATATTTAAACAATAGAAATTTCCTAAAAAATATTTTATATACCGACAAAGCCATTTTCACTACAAATGGAGTAGTGTCATCACAGAATTGTCGCTATTGGGCAGCGGATAATCCTAACTGGGTAATAAACTGTAAAAGCCAGTATTCGCAAAAGATCAACGTCTGGTGTGGGATATTGAACGAACGAATTGTTGGTCCTTTCTTTTTTGAGGAAAACATTAATGCGCAGAGGTTTCTAGAATTTTTAAACACAGAGTTTTGGGATGCTATTCACGAGCTGCCAATCAATGAACGATCAAATTTAATTGTCCAGTTAGATGGGTGTTCAGTTCATTATGCCAGAGCAGTGAGGCAATGGCTTAACGAACATTTTCCAAACCGATGGACAGGCCGTGGTAGTCCGTTCATAGAGTGGCCACCCAGATCTCCAGACCTCACAGTTTTGGACTTTTTTCTCTGGGGACTTCCCACACAAAAGGTTTACAAAAACCGCTCAAGAGATAGAAATGAACTTTGTGCAAGAATTCGACAGGTATGTGCAGATATTAGCCCTCAAGAACTAAGGAACGTAATCAGAAACATTCGTAAGCGCTACGACACATGTATCGAAATACGTGGTGGATTAGTAGAGGCTAACTAGAATATGAGTTAGAATTAATTGTTGCACTGAATCGAAACATTTCAATAATTAGTTATTAGTTAC